TCCGAGAATCTTATATATTAACATTTGACTTAGAATAAACTTATAGCAAATCTAGTTGCAAAAAGTATCTTAAAGTATAAATGAAAAACATGGGCTTCATTCCTTTAGAATTCTGAAAAACTTTGTCTTCTACTGCTCAGCAATTAAGGCTGTTAGCTTGGTAGCTGATTTTAACATGAGCACTGTTAATTGCCTAACTTGATCACCAGCAGAAATGTGAGATAATAAGCTTGCCTGTTCTATGAGGAACCTTCATGTTAATAATTTATATTTTCAGCTGGGTGAAAAAAAGTGGAAGAGTTAGATGTGTGTATTGGAAGGAGAGGAAGGAGCAAATTGCAAATTCACAAGTGAAATCTTAACCTTCATTAAATCAGTAGTTAAGAGTCTTAAAAATACTGTTTGATATTTGAGCCTGAATTATCATGAATTCAAAAAAATATAATTTAACATATTTGTTTGGGCTTCCTTGGAATTTAGATGCAAGTTCTTTGGCAATGAGAAAGGGGACTTGTGCCTGGACCACGACTCTGGGAATAGCAAAGGAGGAGAGAAACATCTGGAGGATGCGAACAGGAGCTTCGAGTGCAACATTTCTTTTGCTTTCCTGCTGAGTGAAGCTCATTTTTTCATCCCTTGAAGGTTAGCTGCAGAAACAGAAAAGTATTCTCGTCCTAAATGGTCCTAAATTAATGTCGTAATGTCCCTAATTAAGAGTAGAATTTGTTCCGCTCCACACAGTGTGTAGTAACTCAGATTTAAATTGACTGTATTAGTAGAAATTTACTGTAGTAGAGAAAGGAGGATGGTTCTGGGAAACCAATTTCAGCGTTGTAGCACTGCAAATTTGACAAGAGAAAGGGACTTTGGTACGAAAAATAGTAGTGGTAGTATGAGAAGAGTTTAGGGCTGCATTTGAAAATAATGGGACAGTATATTGCAAAAGATACCTTCAGGTCAGGTACCACATGCACTTGCAGAATCAGGGACTTTTGTTGAGAAAGTTCTGATTGCCTTTATGAACCAAAATGAATCACTGTTTTATAACTGATGAAATGGCAGATCGGTTTGTCAGGGTCTAGAAATGATCTGTGTACTTAAGTACCTATTCTCAGGTTTAAGACCCAGTCTTGTGAAATGTGCA